AACTCAGCCACGGCTCCATCGATAGGCAGTAAAACACACAGCTACACCTTTAGACAATTAAGCATCTGTGATTTCACACTTCTTTAGATTGTGAGAGAAAGAGTTTCTGGCTCAGCTGGGACTTGAACCAGAGATCTTCTTGCTGTGAGGAGACAGCATTTCCCACTGAGCCACTTATGCTGCGCGTAGCCACAGACATTACATACAGACACTTGTGCAATAATAATACATAAAAAAACTGAAACGTTTTCATGATTGTATGTATATAAAATAAAATAATAAAAAAACATTTACAGGTACAAAACTGTTTGGATAGATGCTGAAATGTACAATATACACAGCAAAATCCTCAGTGAACACTGCACACAATGTTAAAAGAAACACAAAAGTAGTGTTGAAGTTCACGAGATGAATGATCAAATTAAATGATCAAATAAGCATTTGGTAAAATCAACTGAAATAAAACACATTAAATCTCTGAAGATCTCAGCAGAGGATGTTTAAACAACTCCACAAGCAGCATCACCAGCTTCACTTATTACTAACTAGACTGACTTTATTTCTGTCAGCCATCTAGAGAAGCTCTTATTGTTAGTGTTTGGTAACAAGGGCCTACTTTGCATCAGCAACACTGACTCAATGGCAACTGATAGCACCTGTATTCATAGCAACTAGTTTCTAACTAATGTATCATTTGATTGTTAATCATAAATAGAATAATATAGTATGTGTCAGGCAGTCATTCATGCAATTGTATGCAAAATCATGATCCTACTGAATGGCTTCAACTAGGATATAATATTCAGCAATCAAATATTTATTCATCAATCATTGGGCACCTATGGAAGTTGAAAATAAATATTTTAGCATTCCAACAATTATTAAATGATCACTATGTTTTGATTTTAAATGTAGCCAGAAACATAATCAGAAAGTAGCACCAGAACTTGTCAAGGAGTATTAACCCAACTCCAACCACTGAATCTATTGAGAGCCATAGAAGTATAGAGGACACATACACATTAATAGTGTAGTCTGGGCAAACTACTGAGTAGGCACCAATCAGAGGCTGCATTTTTATGATGTCATCATGTAGCCTTCTTCTTACAAGTATTTTAAAACTACAAAAATACAAAACACCAAAGTATTTTGATACAAAATATGAAGCCATTTTCATCAACCCTATCAAATACAAAATCATATTTTATAATTTATATACATATTTGAAATACATGTATCATAAATACTGCCCATCCCTCAGCTCACAAGTATAGTTAAACAAGCACACACACACACACTATATTTTTGTTTGTTTCACTATGTTATGGAGGACATTGCATAGACTTCCATTGATTTTCTTCAATGGATTTTCTTTTATTTGACCTCCACAACTATAGTCCAAGAAGTACAAACACACACTGTGGGCTCTATTATACAGCCAAAATATAATTTTTACAAATGTTTGTATGCTGCTGCGCGTCTCTGTGTGTGTAATAAGCAAAGTGTACGCGTGTTGTGCACCCACCTGTAGGCGCATATTACTAACGCGCTCTTTAAATAACAAATAAAAAATATTGTGCCAGACTTTAGACCAGGTTTGAGTTGGTCTATTGCACAGTCTATTTTCAATTCCTCAAAATAGCAACGCGCCAACAATGAGCCTTAACACACCTCTTTTCTAGACCAGCACGCCCATGGGCGCAAATAAATTTGCTATTTAAACAATGCATTGCAGGACGGAAAAATGAGAACTGCGTCGGGCTGAAACTAGCAAAAACACTTGTGCCGCGCCTTGCGCCGGGTGTTTGATAGGGCCCAATGGTGCAGTAGTTTTTTTGTTATTTAAAGAGCGCGTCAGTATATGCGGGTCCACAGCACGCGTACACTCTGCTTATTACACACACAGGGACAGACAGCAGCACACAAACATGCCAAATATTAAAAATTAAAAGATTGCAATGTAAAAGATTATTATTGTGTAGGCTACATAAATATAAAAATGCCTACATGTCATAATGGATAGTCATTGGATGTATCAGAATTAAGCTACCTATTTGCTCATGCATGAGCAGGTCCGTTTCATCTCTGGAGATGCGTTCAGTCTTTGTGCTTGTAAATTCCGCCGTGTAAACAGCAAATCCGCCATGGCACGAGCGCAACTGGCTCTTAGAGGGGATGGGCGGGAAGACTGTTATTGGTTTATTGCATGTTATGCCCAAAACACACCCATTACTTATTACAGTTTTTCTCGATTGCTAAAACACTATAACCAGGCTTTTGAACAAAAATTTTAAAACCGTTTTTCAAAAAGCACACCCATTTTGCTGAACTATAAACACTATTCCCCTGCTTTAACACATGAGTCAGATTTGGTGAACTGTTACTGCAAAACTCTACACACAAATCCCTACATTTCTCAGTGATTACACCATGTGATCATTTAGAAAGCACTAGCATTCAATACTGTTCACTCAAGTCAGCACAGCTTGAGCTCAATTAACAAACAATTACCCAGGTGGAAACACTAAGAGTCAAAAACACACATCAATCAGATCCTTCAATAAATAGATAAAAGGGCCCGAATCAGTTCACTGAGCTTTGGAACAATGGATCCACAGAGAAATTAAGGAATAGGTTGAAGAGGAAGAGGAGGAGGAGGAGGAGGAGGAGGAGGATGTGGTGAAGGAGGAGGAAGAGGACATGGTGAAGGAGGAGGGAGATGAGGAGGATGTGGTGAATGAGGAGGAGGAGGAGGAGGGAGAAGAAGGGCAAGGAGACAAGCAGTCTCAGATGAAATTCGAGCCACTGTAGTTGACCATGTCCTTGTACATGGTATGACTATGAGGGAGGCTGGGCAACGAGTACAGCCAAATTTGTGTCGCTTCACCGTCGCCTCCATCATCAGAACCTTCAGGGAGGAAAACAGGTAGGTGTACTTACAGTTAGACTGCTCTGTACAGTAACTTTAGAGTGCATACACTGTCGCACTATGCTACTGTAATAAAGAAATGCATCAAATTGCCTCGCATACAGATATAGTTTCAGTTTTTCCTGTTAAAAGGATGTGTGACAGTTACAGTAATGAGTGCTTCTATTTTTGTAGGACACAGAGACGACCACCTGGTGGAGGCAGGCTAAGGCTTTTGTCGAAGGAGAAAGAGTGGGAGCTTGTAAACATGGTCATTGCCAATAATGTAATCCGCCTGTGAGAGATTCAAAGGAGAGTGATTGAGGATAATCATCATTTTCGAGGGATAAATGCCATCAGCCTCTCCACAATTGATCGTATCCTCC